GGGGCCAGCAGGCAGAGAGGGGCCAGCAGAACCGAGTGATATCGGGAGGGCCCAGACAGCTCAGGGCCGTTCCAGCAGCCCCGAGCCGGCGAGGCAGCCGAGGGCAAAGGTTCGGGGGTATCTCACAGGGTCCTGCCATCGCCGGGCTCCTGCTGTGACAGCTGGAGGGAGCAGCGGGTTTGGGTGCAGGTGACTGGGCAGGTTTTTTTGGCTGATGATACCAAGGCAGGGGAGGGGTAGGCAGAGGTATTTGTTTTCTTCTGTCAACACTTCCTCATACGTCGGATGAAGCAAGCAATGGGCTTGGCTGGCTGCAAGCCAGGTGACATCTTCCAGCGGCCCGGAGCTCTGACCAGCCCGAGAAGCGTGCGGGATCAGGCCTCCCTGGCATCTCAGAGCTCCATGCACTGCTGGTTGGAGAAGGGGTTGTCACAGGACAGTGGGATTTTGGAGTGTAGGCACTGGAGCTCCCTCCTGATCCCTCCTGCCCTTGGGACTCTGAGCACAGCCTGGCTTTGCAGGAAGGTGCCCACACGCTCTGGAGGTGCCTGTCCCCAGGTCCAGGCAGCTCTAGCTTCTCACAGCCCAGCTCTCCAAGGCCTGCACTGTGTCAGGTCCCGGCTGCTGGCAGATGCTGGTGGGCAGGCTTCAAGCTGGGGCACAGTGCCCCATGCCCACGAGCTTCCTGCAGTACCGGGGCGGCCGTCCCTCCCCCTCCTCCTGCCACCGTGCATGAGGAACGTCTCCCGGTGGTGACGAATCCAGCTGAATCCAGGCGCAGGCTGCGATGCAGACAGTCACCAAGGGAGATTGTACCACGTGCATCCTCACAGCCACGGGGAATGGGGACCAGGGCTTCCCTGCTAAGTCCCCTGTATCCCCCCCCATGCTTGACCATGCTCTGCAGGGGCTCTGGCAGTTCCTGGGTGGGATGGAAAGTGATCTTTGGAGACGGCCCTGTGCAGATCCACTTACAAAGGGGTGCCCAGCTGCCCCCAAGGGATGCACTTGGAGGTCACGGTGCTCGCTGCCGGGGAAGCAGGCATGGTACCTCTGGCTGTGGACCAGGAGGGGAGCTGCAGCTGACAGGTCCCAGAGCAAAACTGATGTGGATGAATGTCCCCTAGCTGGCTTGTGTGCCTGTGGCCCCAGGACCATGGCCTGGAGGTGACAGCCTGTTCTGGGAACAGCCCAGTTATGCCCTAGCCTGGTGCTGCACTCCCACTGTTGATGATTAACCACCCTGACTGGGTGGTGAGTTCAAGGACCCACTCAGTGACTGTTGTCCCTAGGTTAGGCTGAGCTGGGGCCATGCTGGAAGCAGCAGGACTTAGTCCTGCTGGTTGATGCTGCAATGGTCCTGCATCTCAGCACAGTCCTGTGCTTGCAAGTTGTCTCTGTCCCTGCTGTCCCTTCTTGGTCTTCCTTCCCCAAAAGACCCACCAGGCTCTCTCTGCATCTCTGGGGTGGGTGAAGGATGTGCCAGTTTGTACTGGGGGATCAGTGCCTGGTGTTTTTAGTGCTGGGAGAGGAAATGAGCCCAGAGACACCAGCCCAGACCATCTGCAGAGCACTTCAAGGATGCTGCCAGCTTGGGGGGGTGTCAGAGGCAAGGGCTTGAGCTCAGGTGATGCTGAGATGCCCATGGGGTGGGTGCAGATAGGTACATTCAGGGCACCGTTGGGGCAGGGAGGCTCTGACCCAGCTCATCCCATTGACCCTGCTATGCTTTGTGCATCACAGGTGATATCCCGACGCCTTTATGGACCTATCTGGAAGTCAACCTTCGGACATTATAGGAACATCAACATTGGGAGCCCAGTGGTGCTGGAGCAGCTGCTACGCCAGGAGGGCAAGTACCCCATGCGGAGCGACATGGCCCTGTGGAAGGAGCACCGGGACACCCGGCGCTTGCCCTACGGACCCTTCACCGAGTGAGTCCTGCCCTGGCTATGCTCTTTGGGGCAGCACACATCTCCTGCCCCTTCCTCAGGTGTAGGGCCCAGGTGGCAGTTTGCATTACTCCCACTCCTGCAAGCTGCACATCCCTACCAAGTAGACGGGCATGGCCACGGCGGGTGGAACGACCCCTGGGATGGTTCCAGCCTGGGGTTGGGGAGTATGCACACAGGGAGTGGGGAACTGCTGCCCCTTGCCCATCCGTGCCCCCCAGCGCTGAGCTTCGTCCCCATCCAGGGAAGGGGAGCGCTGGTACCGCCTGCGCCAGGTCCTCAACAAGCGGCTGCTGAAACCCTCGGAGGCGCTGCTGTACGCGGATGCCATCGGGGAGGTGGTGTCAGACCTGATGGTGCGGCTGCGGGAGGAGCGGAGCCGCAGCCCCTCAGGGGTGCTGGTGGGGGACGTGGCCAACCTGCTCTACCGCTTTGCCCTGGAAGGTAGGGGTGTCCTCCCCCTCAGCCCTGCCCTGTCCCATTCCCCCGGAGGTCTGGATGCTGTTTGTCCCCCGCAGGCATCTCCTATATCCTCTTCGAGACCCGCATCGGGTGCCTCAAGCAGCAGGTCCCTGCTGAGACCCAGCGCTTCATTGACTCCATCAACCTCATGTTCAAGAACTCCATCTTTGCCACTGTCCTGCCCCGATGGAGCCGCAAGGTGCTGCCCTTCTGGGACCGTTACCTGGACAGCTGGGACACCATCTTCGCCTTCGGTGAGCGGTGACAATGGGCATCCAGTGTGGTGGCATTGGGATCCCTAAGGACACTCAAAAAGTGGGGCAGTCTCTGGCCAAATGTCTTTTTGGCAGCCCTTGCTCTGTCAGCTCTGGTTCCCACTCTCTGTCCCTGCAGGCAAGAAACTGATTGACCGAAAGATGGAGGAGCTGGAGGGGCAGGTGGAGCGTGGCAAGGAGGTGTCCGGCTACCTGAGCTACCTGCTGGCCAGTGGCAGACTCAGCCTGGATGAGGTCTATGGCAGCGTGGCCGAGTTGCTGCTGGCTGGTGTGGACACGGTGAGAGCCAGAAAGCTGCTCCAGGGGATTTTTGCTGAGCTCCATGCCCAGAGGAACCCACGGGGCCATGCTCCATCCAGCCCTTGCAAGCTCTAGCCTGGTTGCTGTGGGGCTGATGCCCCACAGGGGTAAACCCTCAGGGACTGGTCCATACAGATCCTGTCCTCTGCTCTGCTTCGTGCCCTGCTCCCTGCCTCTCTCTCCCCTGTACCTGCTGCCCCTCACCCCTGACTTCTCTGCGCACCAGAGCAGGGGCTCTCTGGTGCCGTACTGATGCTGTGCTTGGCACAAGGCTGCTCAGGTACTAGCCCCAATTCCTTCACTCCCCCTGGTGCTCTGCTCCCCCAGACCTCCAACACGCTGTCCTGGGCTTTGTACCACCTCTCCCGCGACCCAGACATCCAGGAGACCCTGTACCAGGAGCTGAAAGCTGTTGTGCCTGCTGACCGGTTTCCTGCTGCTGAGGATATCCCCAAGTTGCCGATGCTTCGGGCCGTTATCAAGGAGACTCTGAGGTACATCCCAGCCTTGTCCCTGCCCTGAGGTCCTGTCACCAGCCCCTTCTCCAGGGGGGATGCACCAACCAGGCAGGATGCAAGGCTGGATTTCAGTCCCTCTGGACTGCAAATATCTATGTCCCCACCCCCGAGGAGCTGCTGAGCCTTGTCCTGCCTGCATCTCGCTCTCTCTGGGATCTCCAGACGAGTCCTGCTCCCCCACTAACTCTCCCCATATCCCAGAGTCTACCCTGTGGTGCCCACCAACGCCAGGGTCTTCTATGAGAAGGACATTGTCATCGGAGACTACCTCTTCCCCAAGAATGTGAGTGGGGGCCGTGCTGTGGGGACCCCCGCTGCACTCAGTGGGGCCAGGTGGGGTCATTAAACGCAAATTCTTTCCCTGCAGACCCTCTTTGTCCTGGCACACTACGCGATGTCCCACGATGAGACCTACTTCCCCGAGCCTGAGCGGTTCCTGCCCCAGCGCTGGCTCCGGGGACACGGCTCCCCTCACCACCCCTTCAGCTCCATCCCGTTCGGCTACGGGGTTCGTGCGTGTGTCGGACGCCGCATCGCTGAGCTGGAGATGCACCTGGCCCTTGCCAGGGTAAGTAGGGATCCCCCCCGCTTTGGTTATCTTGCCATAAGCTGGGATGGGGGTCCCAGGGAGTCCCCAAGGCACTGCCAACTCCCCTTCTCCCCACAGATGATCCAGGCATACGAGGTGCGGCCGGACCCCCGTGGTGTGCAAGTGACATCTGTGTCCCGCATTGTCCTGGTGGCTGACAAGCCCATCAACCTGGAATTCATCGCTCGCCCAGGAGCCCCCTGACTGCACGTCCACCCCCACCCTGGGTGCCAAATGGAGATCCCCTTTACTGCCCCACAAGGACAGGAAGGCAAACCCCTCCCCTGGCCAGCTTGGGCCAGGGGGCTTACAGTCCCACAGTGGGAAAGGTGGGGGGGGATGAGAGATTGCCCCCAAATCACCCCGTGGCCACTAGTATCCCCCTGCCCAAAATCAGCAGGAGGCTTGGGGAACTGCTGTGCCTTTGACACACTGCAGGGGGGTTGTGTCCCCCCTCTCCTGTGCCCAGCTGGGCTGTATCAGGAACCTGGGAGCTCTTTTGGGGCTGGGGGAAAGCAGGGAGGGGGCTTGCAGCCATTTGGTATTTCCTTCGTCCAGTCCTTGTGTAGCTGTGCGTGGATCTGTGCCTGAAGCCAGGACATCTGGGTCCTCTCTGAACAGCTGACCTTGGCCTCAGAAACTTCTCTGTGCCTCACTTTCCCCCTTGCCCCCAGGGGAGGGTTGAGTGCTGGGGCGTTTGGGGTTTGCGCCTTTCCCAAGGGATTGAGCCAGCCCTGGTCCTGGGAAAGCACGGCAATAACACAGCACATTCCCAATGATGGGAGTAGGCCTGTCACCACCCAGCACTGGTATTGCATCCCCTGGCAGAGCCAGACAGCACAGGAGGGGTGTTCCTGGCACTTTCCACTGTCAGCCAGTAATTGCACTGAAATGCTGATAGGGGATCAGGGGAATGGCAGGGCTTGCTGCAGGCAAAGCAGCAGGAGAAAGATAAGCTCAGCATCCCCTGCCTCCAAGCCAGGACCATTGCAAGGCTCACAGGCAGGGGATGCACTGCCATTTGCCCAGGGTCCTTAAGGGATGGGGCATGGGACATTTTTAACAGTCACCCCTTCATACTTTCCTTCTTCTTGGACTGAGGGAAGCAGCAGGTGGAAATCTTGCTGGTGCCAAAGCTTTTTGTCACCCAGTGTGTCCCTGAAGGGACCTGCACACCATCAAGATGATAAAGACTGCATGCCCTGTGTCCCCATCCTCTTGGTTCTACCCACATGGGTGGAGGTGCTACTCTGCCAGTGCCCCTTCCACAGCCTGGTTCCCTCCAGAGGAGTCATGCCCAGCTTTACCCCAGAAAGGCAAGAGGCAGTTCTTTGATCAGGCTGCTTTTTTACAGCAAGATTGAACAGACTAACAAATAAATAAATACCCCCTGCCCACCCCAAAATGTGCACAGGGTCTCTATGCAAGTGCCCGTTCTGCTGCCAGCTCTGGCACAGACTGTGCCTCTGCCAGAGAGCTCCAGCCCCATGTGACCCCAAAATAAAAAAGCCTGTGTGTGCAGCTGAGCCTACGCTACCAGGCACCGGGCACAGACAGCGGGACTGTGTTCACTAGGAGGGAGCCACAACAGAAACGTTCAAATCCATCAGCAGGATGGCAGAGGGGTGGTCAGGTCCACTGGGGCTATATGGGTCTCTGCCCAGCTGCAGGCATGTTGCAGCCCCTCCAGCACAGTGCCCACTGAGCATCTCTGTGTGCTCACTGGCAGGAGGCACCCCTGGGTCCCATTTTCAGTGTTTCTGCCTCTCCAAGACTGGCAGGATCTAGCCCTGGACTCAAGACGAGCCCGAGGACTGGAGTGAACAGGCATGTCCTCCCACAGAGAGCCTTCAGGCCCAAGCCTCCTTCTCACAGATCACGCAGAGATCCCTGAGTCAGACAAGACAGTGGCATTTCCCTGTTGTCTTCAGAGTGAGGATCGATCGATGCCTGTGGGGCAAGAGAGTGTGTGAGACCATAACCCCAAAGCAGTGCTGGACTGGGCACCCTGTGATACGGCCACACCAACTGTCCCAGTGGACACTGGGGTCTTCCCTCCATTCCTTGCTTGTATGCAAGCCCTGGGGTAGGAGGGAGGGCAGCTTGTCTGGAGAGGGACATCTCAGTGGCCCCCTGCAGCTCCTGACACAGCCACCCCTGTGGGCACCTGGGATAGGGTGAGCAAAGGCACCATGATGGAGGATTGGAGGGAGGGGGGCAAGGGGGATATCCCATATGTGGCTAACACGCACTATTCCCAGTCCCCTTCTGTGCAGAGCAGCTGGACACTGCTAGGGGAACTGGTATGCACAGGCCTGTCCCATCCCATTGCCCACCAGGACCCTGAAAAGCGTTATTACCTTTGGGAAGCAAAGTTGGGGAGCCAGCTCCCCATTCCTCATTTCATCCCTGAGAGGTGCCTGAGTGGATGCCAGGAATGTGCCCACCCATAGCCAGTGAGGATTCACCAGGTAGTGGGTGAGCAGAGCCAGCTGCAGGTGGCCAGGCAGTGTGGTGCCAGTGTCACCTGGGAATGAGCCCTGTCTCTGGAACAGACAGTTTTGGGGCTGCTGCAAGTGGAGGGGATGGGGGGCTCTGCCAGCTGTGGGTCATAGGTTGGCCATGTTTTGCTTATGGCTAGTGGTGGCAGCATGTCTGGGGTGTGTGAGTGGGTGTCTGTCAGCGATGTGTGCCTTGGGAATGGCACTGGAGGTGCTCAGGTCTTAGGGGGAATTGAGGCAGGATCAAAAATAGTCTTTTGTCTGAGGGTGCATCACACCCCAAAACCCTCACCCAGCCCAAAGCCCAGGGACCTGCAAAACCTGCATTCCACACTCTGCCTGAATGGGGCTCTGGTGGAGCGTCTCCATAGGAAGTGTCCCCCTCCTTCCTCAGTCACCAGGGATCCCCCTCGATCCTTGTGTACCCCTGGGACAAGCAGCATCTGGGCCCTGCTGTCTCCACCTGGGCACCCAGCGCTGCCAAACCCCAGCCCCAGCCTCCTCCATCCCCCAAAGACCACTTTGGATGGGACAGAGGCAGGTGACCCACCAGCAGGGAGGGGACGCAGCAGTGGGGGGCTGGCGCCTACCTGAAGTGGAGAAAAATTGAGGGTGCAAGTGGAGAAAGATGGAGCACCGTGGGCTAAGAGTTAAGAGCATCGATACCTGCAGGAGTGAGCACAAGGGCCTGCAGGATGTCAGAGAGGGAGATGATGCCTCGTGGGTGCCGGTTCTCATCCACCAGAACCAGGCGATGGACCTGTGGGTGCAGGCAGAGCGTCACAGGCTGGGCAGCCGGCAGCAGTGGCTGGCACGAGGCACCCCGGCCACTCACCTGCTCCTTGGCAATGCGGTCAATTATGTCCTCCATAGGTTCGTGGGGGTAGCAGGTGAGGACCCCCTCCAGGGCGACGCTGCGCTGCTGCAGTGCCTCCCTCACACTGATGTCCAGGTTGTTGTAGCTCTTTTGGGCTGCCAGGTGCTGTGATGTGACCACATCCAGAGTCCCAAGGTGTCCTTGCACCCCATTGTGCCAACATACAAGGGACAATGAGCCCAGGAGATGCACAGAGCAGATGTGCACTGGCACATGCATCACACTGCATGTGAGGTGGGTTTGCATGGGCACAGACAGGTATGAGTGCCCCACCAGTGCATGCAAGGGGCCAAAGTTGAGCCTGGGCATGCACACATGCAGGGTACTCACAATGACATCAAACCGCGAGTACAGGCCAACTACTTGCCCTGCAAAGAGAAACAGTGCAGGGGCTGCGGAAGCAGCCCAGGGACCACCTGCCTTGTTCCTCCCACATCCCAAGGGGCAGCCCAAGGGCCAGGAGAGGGGTTTGGGGTAGGGATGGTGCTGGAGCTGCTAGCAGAAGGAGATGAGGACGTCACTTTTTCCCTCCCCAGGTACCAGCATCATTGATGACAGGCAAGGCAGAGACACGACGATCCACAAAAATCTCCAAGGCGGTGTAGACTGGGGCAGTCTCAGGCACGACAGCCAGATCATGGAAGGTGCCAATGCACAGTTCCTGCACTGTTTTCTTCAGGAAGCGTGGCTTGGGAATGGTAGAATCCTTCAATGGGACAGAGCAGAGTTAGGCTGACACCTGCATGTCACCCTTGTCTGTGTCCCTACACCCCAGCCATGAGTGTGCATAAGCAGCGCCTGCACTCACAAAGATGTGGAGAAACTTGAGGATGCGCTTGTGCGTCAGGATGTGCAGGACATTGCCCGAGACAGGCTCAATGACAGGCAGGCGGTGGATTTTGTGCTTGATCAGGGAGTAGACAGCATTGAAGAGGCTGTGGGTGATGCGGACATCGTGGTGGGATAGCGCTGCGTTCAGGGCACACACACCCCCACTCCAAGGGGTGTGCTCTCCCCCAGTGGACAGGCTCTCACCTATTGCTCGGAGAGATGTAGACCAGTGGCTTGAGGGAGCCCTGCAGGTACACTTCTGCCGAGGGAGAGAGCTATGAGAGGAGGTCCTCCAGCCCTCTCTTGCAGTCCCACAACCCCAGAGCCCACCTCCATGCCCTGTGTGACAACATCACCCAGCCGCCCACATGAATTTTACCTCTCCAGGTCTCAATCTTATGCTCCTCCACCTCGTAGATCTGAACCTGAAGGCAGGGAAATGCCCTGGTCATGGTGGTTCCATGGGGGACTGAGGGCACTCTGAGACACTGCCCCCTTTCCCTTGCATCACATCCCATCAGCCAAGCACAGGGATAACATTTGGGGGGCCAAGGAGGGGAGCAACAAGTGGATCCTGGTCTAGCCCAGAATCATCCCCTGGTCATTGTCTGGAGATTAAGAAGGGACCAGGAGTGATGGGGACAGCCACTCCCTGCCCCATGCATGTCCTGATCCCCCAAGCCCTCCTCACGGCACTCACCAAAGGTGAGCGGTAGTAGCGGTGGAGGATGTTGATGAAGTCAGTGATAGTGAGCATCCCTGTGGAGATATGTGGGGCTGGCAGCACTGCCTGTACCCTCCTCTGCCAGGCAGGGGAGGGGACCAGGCATTGCTTCTGGCACTCACCCACAAAGCTCTGCGTCTTGCTGTCCCAGAGAGGGGCAGCACGCACCCCGTTGGCCACCAGTGCCAAAAAGGCTTTCTTGATCTGCTGGCAGAGTGTGGAGGGGTTCAGAGGATCCCCAAGCCTGCTTGTCCACTGCCCATCCCCACTCATCCCCCAGGTTATCACCTCTAGGGAGATGTCAAAGACAACGAGTTTGCAGCTGGTGGGGATGGCATCGTAACAGCAGTGGCTCCTCAAGAAGTGCATATAAACCTCAGCATCAGGGTTCTGAAACTCTCTCTCTGGGCCCAGCCCCAGTATCTCATTTCCCAGTGTGAAGGTGACAGGTCTCCTGTATTTCTCCTCCTCTTCTTCCTCCTCCCTGGGGCATACAGCCTTCGAAAACCCTGCAGACAAAGTCACCCCAGCCCTAGCGGGTGAGCTGAGCTGCTGGGTCTCAGCTGCTGGGTCTCAGCACCCTCCTGCCTAGGGGGAGCAGGGGATGGTCCCAACAGAGCCCCCCTGTTCCCCATTCCACAGGGGCAGCACATAGCACTGCAGTTCTCCAGCCTGGGGCGGACTCCAGCTGAGGAGAGGGGTATGGGCAGAAGTGGGCAGAGGACCAATGCACTTGTCACTTGAGTAAGGCAGCCCCCCTCCTATACACCTAGACTCTTTCTGCTACCCACCTTCCTCCTCAGGGCATGTAACAGCATCCAGCAGCGCCACCTGAGAGGGCACACAGTGAGGAGGGGTCAGCAGGAGTCAACCCAGTCTTTTCCCCATCCATGGATTCTGCCTGCACCTACCCAGCTGCTCTGGCCCACCCAAGCCAGGCAGAGAACTGTCCTGACAGGGTGGGGATGTGGGCACCCCCCACCAGCCAAGGATCTCCAGAGCCTGTGGTCTCCATGGTGGCTCCACTCCAGGTCACCCAGCTTGTCCTCCTGCTCTGGGGAGACAGCAGGGGTCTCCAGAGCAGGACAAGGATGGATGGCAGGACCTCCTGCCTTCTCTCTCTGCTGTTGGACTCCAGCGTGTCCCACAGTGGCTCTGCGCCCATCCTCTCCCAGTCCCAAGGTGTAAATTCCATTCTTGCTTCTTCCCGTGCTGAGAGCCTTGCCTACCCCACTGGACCCTACCGGGGACCAGGTCCATCACAGGAAACTTACATTAACAAAGCAGCAGCCCGAGGAAGAAGAGTCCACAGCGCCAGACGACTAGCCCCGTTCCCCCAGTCCCCAGGAGACCCTACTTGTACCAGAGCCACATGTGCAGAGAGAAGAGCTACCCCAGGCACAAACCCGCCTGACACAGCAGAAGTTTACAGACCACCCTAAAATAACGAAGGCACAGGGACCGCGATCAGTCCCTAAGGAGCCAACACCGAGAAGGAAGAGACCCTGCAGCACCTGCCCCAGCCGTTCCCAAGGGGCTTGGCACAGCTGGGACAAGGACGTCCTTGTCCCCACGGCTCCATGTCCGTGCGAAGGGGCCCATCGGCCGCCCACATGCTCCCACCCCAGAGGTGGCCTGTCCCCAATCGGGGTTCTGTCGGGCCGCGCTCCCCACCCAGCCTGACGGTACCTGGGACGCGGCGGGGCCACGGAGCCGCTCCATGCTATCTGCGCGGCAGCGCTGCTATTCTGGGCCCGCGGCTGGCGTGGCCCTGGCAGATAGAGTGTCAGCGAGCAATGCCAGCCATGCCCCCACCGCCACCGCTGCGGGGGGGGGACACGGGCGACACCACCGAGC